GAGGGATCTTTCTCAAATTTTAAATGTAGGTTCCCCTTGATCCCTCGTTGTGTATGTTATATTTTGAGACTGATCATAAAAACAAAATGGATTAAAAGAAGAACTAAACAGATCTTTCTCATATTGCAATGATCGATTCTATTTCTTTCACATTAAGTACTGTACTAGTAAATATGTGAAATGACAAACTCACTTTGAAGGTTGGCTTTCATACACATCAGTATTAAGTTTAGATCAAAAGTTACCTCAAGGTGCATTTACTGTTAACATGACTCGATCAAACAGATTAGAGGAAAGAAGAGAAAATATCGAACTGACAAAGAACTAATGAATATGGTACAAAGGTGGGCGCCAAGATCCCTCTGGGATCTCTTGTTTATACCCTTGAGACAAAGTCTCTGGCCAACTGCGATCACCTGTTTTGCATCTCCTGTTCACATTTTCGGTTTTTGACTCCAATCGCTTTCAATAACATTTTGCGCAAAGGTCCCATATGGCCAAAGGCAAAACAAATATTTGGATCAAAACCCGCAGGAAGGGGATTTATTTTTAGCACACCATCATAAAATGGTGGGATTTTAAAACCACCCTTCATCAGTGGTCTATCCTAAGTCCATCCCTCAACCATCTGTCCTTATACAATTCTTTTAATTGCTATTTCTTTGGAAAGATCTTTCTTAGATTTCAATTGAAGATTCCCCTTGGTTTGTTGAAAAAGCCTTCAACAAACTTGGTCATTTTGACAGTTTAAGTTTGTTATTATATTTACCAAGAAGTACTTGACAGAATTTTCTCTAATTTCTTATGCAAGTTCCCCTTTGTTCCTCATGTGTGCATGTTGCATATTGAGACTGAACAGGGAAAAAGATGGCTACCAGGCAGCCATGGAATTTGCCAGTTAATGTTTGTGAGCTCCTGCTCATGTTGTTTTCATTTAATTTTCTATTTGGAAATAATCTGTGAGTTGAAAGTTATGGACCATTTTCAGCAATCTTTAGTCAATATCAAAAAGTAGGATGGGCCATTCCATGTAAAATTCAATAAACATGGGGAAATTAGAAGGGCTTATTAAGTTTTGAGAGACAATTGGTCCTATTACCTCCTCAAGGATTATCCCTGACCTATTGCGATAGTGCAATATAAGGATATGTAAACTTGAATTTCTTTTGTCTGTAGAATGAGCGTACAGCTTACATCCAGATGGAATGGAGCGAGATGCAACTGTTACCAGATCTAATGAAGAAAGGAGCAATGGCAGACCAGGTAAGCAGTAGTGCTGAGTTTAATCTTAGAAAGGTGAATCCATTGTATTTGTCCTAATAAATGTGCCTGCTATGTTGAATGAAGGCACAGGGTTTACAAAATATAGCTTTAATGTAAAGTTGAAAGTAAATGTTTTGTATCACATTGATTCCCAATTTAAAATGCTGTCATGACTGCAATCTTAATAACCTTTTTATTCCATCCCTTAAGGAACTTGATGGATTCTTCCAGTTAAATTTTGGTTTCTTAAATTCCTATTACTGTTATATAATAGTTTTCCATTAAAAAATAAGCAGTATAATGTGTTTCATTAAAGGTCAAGCAGAGTGTGTTTGAAGGTGTAACTGAGGGCTTGATGCATCTACACAACAAGGGATTTGTCCACGGGGAGGTAAACCCATCCAACATAGGAGTCAAACCAGACGGCTCTTCCACCTTGATGCCTCCAGACTTCTCAAGATCAGTGGTAAGACAGCAGATTTGTGATATCTTGAATCTTGTTCTATGAATGGTGTATACTGCAGCAATAAATTATTAAAAAGGGTTACTTTCCACCTATATATGATACTCAAGTACAGTTGGTAACAATTTTATAAGTATAAGATATTGAAGTCTAGATCCTTGCAGTCAAGATTATAATTATCCCCTATCAACAAATGGGTCCATTTATTCATTCGTCTATGCACAATTGTTTCCGAAATTTATCGCACAAAAAAATTACAGACTTTATCTCAAAACTTCTTGCACGAGTCGGTAGTAGTGAAATAGGGTGATTTTTGGTGTTTCCACTTTTCATATTTCAAGAAATTTCCTGTCCAGTGCTTTGGAATATGTTCATTTTGGTGCATCCTTGCATTTATAGAGCATATCTCTAAAGCTCTTACAGGTGTCATTAAAGGAGTGTTATAATATTTTTCGAGATCTCCAAATTAGTCATATGCAAGGTTTTCTTGAAAATAAGCTTATCATGACCAATATTTCTTGTTGACACTTCAACAGGGGTAAACATAGATATTGACAGCAATGGCTTGTTATACATTCTTTTGAAATACAAATTCACAGCATTCGAAAAAAGAATATCAATTATCACTATGTGTTTACATTTGTTATAGTTGGATCGTGTGAGGAAAAGATATGTCACAGAAAATGGGTTGACTTTCGTGCCCATAGAAATGGTAGCCTATGCCCAGCAAGGTTTGACACCACAAGTGTCCATTAGTTGTGACCTGTACAACCACGGCCTTCTTCTCCTCTGGGTAAGTGTCCATCAGTTGTGACCTGTACAACCACGGCCTCCTTCTCCCCTGGGTATTTTGCTCCAAATATTTCAATTATGAAAAATCTATATGTCATGTATGCAAATACCTTGAATTAGGTTACATTTGCGTATCCTGGTTGAAACAGTTCAGGTGGTGCAGAAATATTCCACGATAAACGAACGCACTTGGACCAGACTATAGGCAGAGCTAAAAATGCAGTTTTGGAGAGCAAATAACAGTGTATCAAGAATAGTATGCCCTTCTTTCATACGTCCACTAAATTATTGAATGTATCTTAAAATCTACATGTGGCTTGAACTTGTTTGATAAAGATATAAGACAAACAAGCATTAGTTAGCATTGTAGTTTTGGTCAAGCATGTCTGTACCCCTAAATCTACATGTGGCTTGAACTTGTTTGATAAAGATATAAAACAAACAAGCAATAGTTAGCATTGTAGTTTTGGTCAAGCATGTCTGTACCCCTAAATCTACACATGCCGAATATTCCTGAGGTCAGCCTCTGTTCAGATCTGTGCCTGTTGTTTACTTTCCAGGTTCGACCGTTTTAACTGGTTGAACCGTATATGCAAAAGAGGCTTTAGTTTAAATTTCAGTGTTCTAAGGTAAAGACCAATGTCACCATTACTATTTATAGAAATTTAAATACAAAAAATGGGGGCATTAATTTTTTTTCAGATATTTTCTAATTTTTTAATTGAGTGGCATTCATATAAAAAAAAAACTCTGTGAAAGTCTGAAAGTAATGTCTATTTTGACCCAATCCAAAAATCAACACTGGTGCCAGGGGGGGACATGCTTTATGTAATATTCCAGTAATACGATGCAATTGTGTAAAGGGTAATAAAAACGTCTCGCCACTTACGAGCTAGATGAGTGTAAGTTATATACCACCCTTGACAAGAGCATGTGACACATCCACTTTCATGGAATTCTAGTTAAGTGTATGCTTAAAAATGTTATTCATTGTCTTGCTGATAAATATTAATGTATGTTTATAATTATTGTTACCTTCAACTATCATTTACTTGTGATTTCCTTCACCAGTTGCACAATCCACACGGGTCGGTCGAACTGCAGCATGATGGGTCTCCCAAACTCATGAGTATGGGGCTTGTAAGTAACAATATTTTACCCATTCTTTTTCATTACCTAAAAAAGTTTAAAACATTGCTTTGTATCTGTAATACCTTTACATCAGTGTCAAAGCAGGTGAAAACATGATTTGAATTATAACCATGGTAATTTGAAAACAATATATCTGTATTTCAGAACTGTGACAAAAGTTTGTTGGATATTTGTCTGTGGTAATATTCATTAAGGTAGTGATATTTTACAGGAATCCACTGTGATGGAGTTGCTGTACAGTCAACTGTTCCCAGTCTGCGACAAGAGACTTCCTCTCAAACAAATACTCAAGTCTCGATACCTTACCCAAGTGATTCCAGACAAACCAGCACCAGATACTACTCTCAGGTAATTTCTAGGCCATCATACTGTAAAAGCATAATATTTCGTTGGGGATTTAATTTCGTATTTCGTAGCTTAAAAAAAACCCACGAAATATAATCTCAACGAAATTTGAAAAATGAAAATATGAAATAAACTGTTAATCTTATTAAAATCCATGGTGTATCTCGATCAGTCATAAGCCGCCAACAATGCACTTTTTGTCATGCCTGTCAATTTAAACTTCTTACTTACCAGAAAAAATATAGGGTTTTAAAATATTGATTCCTTGAAATATAATCCCAACAAATTTTTCCCTATACAAAAAACAAGGAAATTTAACCCAAATGAAAATATATGCTTTAACAGTAGTTCATTACCCGGTACTCGCAGAAACAAATGATTTCTACATCAATCTATTGACTGGGTCACAACCTGTTAATACAAATTTTTCAGGAATTTTCAAAACCATTATTCTGAAAAAATCTTCTTTTCCAGACTCAGAGGTACTACAGTCAATTTCTCTGCATGGATGGAAAGATCATCAAGGGCTTTATTTAAATTGTAAATTTCAGTACCGCCGGGATATCCGTTCTCCTTTGGGGAGGGGGTTAAGTTGACTAGTTTATATAGGGAAATAACACTTTTGGGTATATTTTGTTCATTTTCAGAAGGAAATTATTCTTACATGGTGTGAATCATCCTTGGAGGAAGATGGTATCAAACTGTTAAATCGTGATTCCTGCCCCAACCCCAGGGGCCAGGGCGGGGCCCAAAAGGGAAAATTCACCAATATTTCAAAAATCTTCTTCTTAAGACTTGGAGGTACTACAGTCAATTCTCTGCGTTGATGGAAAGATCATCAGGGGCTTTATTAAAATTCTTAATTTCAGTACCCCAGGGCCATCCAGTCTCTTTTACTATAAACATTTAATATAGTTTATACAGGGAAATAACACTTTTGGGTATATTTTGTCAATTTTCAGTAGGAAATTATTCTTGCTTGGTGAGAATCATCCTTGGAAAAAGATGGTATCAAATTGAAAAATTGGGATTCCTACCCCAAAGAGAAAATCAACCAATATTTCAAAAATCTTCTTATTAAGACTCAGAGGTACTACAGTCAATTTCTCTGCGTTGATGGAAAGATCATCAGGGGCTTTATTAAAATTGTAAATTTCAGTATTCCAGGACCATCCGTTCTCCTTCGGAGAGGGGGTTAGGGAAATAACGCTTTTGGGTATATTTTGTCAATTTTCAGTACGAAATTATTCTTGCTTGGTGAGAACCATCCTTGGAGGAAGATGGTATCAAATTGTTAAAATTGAGATTCCTACCCCATCCCCCAGGGGCCAGGGCGGGGCACCAAAGGGAAAATTGACCAATATTTCAAAAATCTTCTTCAGACTTCGTATGTAGTACAATCAAATTCTGCGCATGGATGAAAATTCTGTTGTGGGCTTTATATCTATTTTTCAATTTTATTACCCCCTGGGCCATCCGTTCTCCTTTGGGGAGGGGGTCAAGTTGACTCTAGTTTATATCTAGGGAAATAACACTTTTGGGTACATTTTTTCCATTTTCAGCAGGAAATTATTCAAACTTGGTTGGAATGATTATGATACCAGATGACAATCAAATGATACGAGAAAATAAGATCCTGCCCCATCCCCAGGGGCTGGAGGGTCGGGGCCCAAATTGGGATTATGGTTAAAAGTTGAAAAAAATCTTCTCCATCAGACTAAGATGTTTTACTGTTCATGGATAGAAAGGTCCTTGCCTAAATTGTAAATTTTATTATCGCCCAGGTCATCTGCTCCACCTTGAGGAGAGAATAAAGTTCTCAATAGCAAAATAATTTATTTGAATAGTTTTTAAAGTTATTATGCTTGGACGACATCACAAGTATTGCTTTCCAAATTTTGAACATCTCGACAATGAAATTGAGTTACTAGTACCTATAATATAACTCAGGTGACCGCTTGTTTATGAGGCCATGGTTTTGTACATACTAGTACCTATAATATAACCCAGGTGACCGCTTGTTTATGTATGAGGCCTGGTTTTGTACATACTAGTACCTATAACATAACTCAGGTGACCGCTTGTTTATGTATGAGGCCATGGTTTTGTACATGATATGATACTGTTAGGTATCACTTTACATTTCTCGATGAAAAATGAAGTTGAGAGAATGATGTGTATCTAGCTTTTGATGACAAGATAAAAAGTGATCCCTAAATACCTGTGCAGTAGGGGATTTGTAGTTTGTGAGGTCTCGTTTTGTGAGTGAAATCATTTAAATATATACATCAAATGAAATAAAGTTCTTTTAAATGTTATTTTTAGTATCGAAGTATCCCAAGTACAAGTATCTGATTCGGAGGTGAAAGAGGGTGCAGACAACATGCCTACCGCCGAGCTGTCCGTAACAGCATATGATCCTGAAGCTGATTTGGACAGTTCAAGACAGTTTGAACATCAGCCAGTAGAGGACACTATGTCCAACATTGGTGTATTTGACTTCAACAATATGGCTGCCACCAATAGTTCAGAAAATCAGGCTGAACAGGCTTTAGAGCCAACATCTGATGACACATCTGCTGTAGACCAATTGGCTAGAGACTTAGCAAGCATTAGTATGCCAGCTTATCAAACTGACTTGTCAGGGGTTGATGGAAATACAGAACTTAGAAATGATTCCCTGTCAGGTATAGTTAGTGAGCAAGGTGTTGAGGATAACACAGGTGATTTGGCTACTACAGATAGTGATAGTGTTGTTTGTGTGGTGGACAGTGAACAAGCTGAGGACAAGCAGACCAACTTGGTGGTGACACAAACTGTAAAGGAGGATGAGGAGATGCCAGCCCCTCCCGAACCACTGGTGACTCAATCTGAACCCAGTACTGAACCAATCGGTGATCTAGAATGTCAGTAAACATTGTCATCATTTCTTTTATTTCATTGGAGAAAATATATAGGAAAATAATTTCCACACAATATAGATTGATTTAAAGTTTAGTATGTGTGAAATGTGCAAAACGGTGTGGATACCAACAGAAGTGTGTTGGTTAACTCTACAACGGCATTATTAGTGATGTGAGAAATACTTCACTTGTTGTTTGTTATTAGCTCGCTATAATTTTCTTGTTATTTGTTTTAAACTTGCTAGACAGGTCTCTAGTCTGTGATCACCTACAAAGAATTTCATCATCATTTTAAGTACTGTATTCATGTAGCTATCGTAGTTGTCAGTCCCTTCCATTGCATAATATTATCAATGACTAATCCTTGCATTTAATATGAAATCATTCATTTTTATCCAAATTTGAATTTTACATTTAATCATGAAGGAAATTAGGCAGCTGCCAAAGATGAAATATATTTCATATCTTTATTACTTTCTAAATGTGAAATTTTAGAGTTTTACAATTATGATGAAATATCCAATGAATGATGTCATATGATTTGCGCTGTGCATGTGTTATGCAACACAGGCTTATAGCATTCATATTTACCTGCTTTGTATACCTTGTATATCTGTCTGCTGTGCACCGCTGTAATGCTAGCGTCATTGTTGAGATTGAAACAGTTTGCGATCGGATTTAATTTTTTTAACAAAAACTCTTGAGATGGGTTCCCACTGATTTCCATTATTTTTACCCATTACTGACTTTTGTTTTATTGTGTTTTAATATGGTTCAAAAGAACAGGTTTACTTTTAAATGAAGTTGTCATGTTTTGATTTGCTTTATAATAAATATTGTTTGATTTCAGTGAAACTTGGTTATCATGTATGATAAGTCAAGACTAGGCTGAGTTTTAAGTTTAGTAATTCTGTGTATAATTAATAAGCATACTGTTCTTTTGATTGGTTGAAAAGTTCCTCAAATACATTTTTCATGTTATGTATGACCGGATTCTGATGAAATTGTTAAACATTAATATGAAACAAAGGCATAGGCTAAGCTTTAGTTTGAATGCATTCTGCACATGGCATTGGATGGGCATATATTATTGTTCTGCACTTGTGGTAATTATTTTATCATTCTAGCTCTTATTTCAGAACTTTCTTTCACTTGTGATATTTTTGGAAAATTCAGACATCTTTCGTTCTAGAAATATTGTTTATATCTTTTAATTACAACGAAATCGAGTGGAAACCCATCTTAACATTCACCTTTTTTTTTTCTAAAGCCCAACATTTGTTTAGTCATTGTTAATAATAAAACTAACCATGGAAAATAAATGGAATATTACAACAACAAAAATTTAGATGCTTAAATATGCATGAATTGATCTCTAAACAATTGGGTCATTCTAATAGCCATGCTTTGCTTGCAGTGTCATGATACATTTACTCTTCATTTACATTTCCAGTGGTGACATCATCATTTGCCAGTCCACACTCATTCCTTCGCCAAGACCCAAGTTCAAGGTCACCCATACATAGACTTCTCAAAGCTGCTGCATCAAAGGAGAGCCTTTGAATTGAGACTCGGCACCAGAGCATTAGGTTCAGTTTTATCAGATCACAAACCTCCAGTTGAACAAGGCTAACATTCACAAAAAGGCAGGAGAAATATAGTTGCTTGTTTCTCTGGCCATTTCTCCTCAAAACAGATGAAAGATTTTTATTTGTTTCTTTACAACAAAATGTGGAGAAATATTTGTTTAGCCCACCATCATCAGAAGTTTTTAACATATTTTTTTCCCTTAAATTTCATGTTTAGGTTTCCTTTGCCCTAAGTCTCCTTTTGAGACTGATTGAATGAATGAGCAGCCATGTTGGATTTTGACATCTAGTTTGGTATTGCTTTTTTTCAAAAAGTACTAGAGGCATCTCAAATTTCATATGTAGGTTAAATGAACAAGATTTGCTGGGTGGCTGTCTTGGAATTTGACAACTAAAGTTAGTTATCATCATTATTTCTCAGAATGTTCCAGAAAGAGCTTTCACAATCTGGTTTTAGTTTTTGAACTGGACACAAAGCTGTTGTCTAAGAATTTGACAGCTGAAGTTTGTTATCAACATTTCTCAGAAATTACTGGAGGAGGAGGAATCTTCCCTAATTCCTATCTAGGTCCCTCTTGACTTTGATCTAAGTTACTTATGTTTAATTTTCAACTTCATAGGAAAAAATAGGGCCACCAGGCAGACATCTTAAATTTGACTCTTTTAAGTTTGTTTTTGCTATTTCTCAAAAAGAACAAGTGCATATCTTTCTGTGATTTATAAGGTTATTCTTGTTCTCCAGCTTTGCATATTTCATTTTGAGCTTCAGGCTACTTGGCCAGAATAGAAATATCTAAATTTCATCTAAATATCTATATTTCTATATTAAAAGACTTGTCAAACACAAAGGCTAATTGAAAATGTGTGCACTGTTGACATGACTATCAATCCAACAGGTAAGAGGAAACCTCAATTATTTACTTCAATTGATATAAAATAGTCCAGGAACCAATTGACAATATTTTACATCTGGATGATTTTGTGGATTCTTCTGAATTTTGCTGATTTTGTGAAGGCCTTAGAAACAAGTAATTCATTTTTTGAACTGAATTCATTATAACTATTTTCTAGAAATATTTTGGTAGAAAATTGAAAATCACCCTTCACGCCATGTATACTTTTGCTATAGCTTATCAGAGTAGAAAGGGTACGCATGTAGTAATTGCTTTATCAGTGTGTCTATGTGTTCATATAGAATATCTGAAGCATCGCTTAACATTTAGTTACTCCCCACTGTTGAAGAAAATGGGGATATTAATTTGTGTCCCTCACTCTTGGTTTAAGTGCAATAGCTCCTCTATAATTGGTTCAATTTAAAATAAATTTGGTGTACACTTTCAAAATGCAAAGTGTGGGACTAAGTTTGATCAGGGATTGAATGCATACAAATTACAGCATAATTGATGGTTGGTTCTGTGCAATAAGTCCCGTAACAATAGTTTAAAATCAACCGAATTCGGGGTGAATATGCAAAGTCATTATTTTTTGTGTTTTCATCATTGTATGGTAAAATCTGAATAGATTCAGGTAGTCATCTGTCAAGGTTGAAATGTCAAAAGTCGCACTTAAGTTCAATGCTTAATGGGGGGGGGTCAATGTTAGTGTAAGCTGACTTTGTTTTTATTAAAGTTGAACAGACTAGCATTGATTTTATTGTTAAGTTAAAGTCATGGTTTGCAAGCAACCCATTAAAGAAGTAGCACTATTTACTTATTTCTATTTCAATCGTGTATTTAATTGTAGTAAAAGGTGAAATGAGGCACTACTATTGAAGCACAAGCTTGACTAATATGTTTTCTTCTTTCAGACAAATATGAAACTGACTGTTTACTATCTTTTTCAACGATATAAATGAGAGATGGTTGTGATTATTTCGAGGTCATTCATTTGACTGTTTTGTTATAACTTGATTGTTAGTCCTTGCTACCATGTGGATTTTAACATGTGCCTTCCAAATGTAATAGCAATAGTTATGTTGTTGGAAGTTTCCATCCAACTTGCTGGTGTGTAAAGTACATGTTTCTTCAAATATTTCATGCCTTTTTGTGCACTTCTCATTCTCTGTCGGTCCTTTTTCTTTCTTTCTTTTGAAAAAACATGTTTTTTTGTCAAATTTTGTGTATCCTGTATATCTAGTATATGACCATGCCAATATAGCCAGTGACATATTTCTATTTCAGGATTCATATTGATTACCTTTCATTGTGTGTAACTGTATAAACCAGCTGTCTTAATCCCAGATAAGTTCTAAATATTTGTCTTTTTCTGTTATATCTATATAAACATATTCTCTTTTTGTCTTAAATTACTTTATTTGACACTGCACAATAATGATATGTATGTGTATGACTTTAGTGTTTAGTTCAAGAAAAATGAATAATGTGGTTAGTGCTGTTAAAAAATTTTTCAGAGGCCTCAACCACTTGAATGCAGAAATGTAGGGCAGATGTGGATTAATCCCACAACCCATTACCGGGTATATGTTTTAAAGCAATTCCCCCCTTCCCCTGCAAATGATTAAATGTCTCTCTTGAGGTTGTGATTTAATTTTTAAATCATTTCAATGAAAAGATAACATGACCAGGTATTCATATACAGTATTTTCATTGATCACACATTTAAATCACTGTAAAAAATCAACACTGTTTTGCAGATAGGTTGTTTTTATAAGATGTTGTTGATTGATAAATAAGATGTTGTTCATTGATAAACTGACAGATTGTGTTTTATCACAATTTTCCTTGTAACCATTTGAAAAGTCGAAACAATTCAAACACTTAATTATAATCTTCACAATAAACATGGTGATACCTGGTGTATAGACAATGTAGTATAGATCCATGGTAATGGTAGCCACCATGTTTGTGTGCTTTTATGTTCCAATGTACATGCATATATCTCCCCTTTTCTGGTGCCATTATGATTTCATTAGGTATGAGCTGTACCAGTATCGCACCAAGCATCACAGAGTCCAGACACGATAATATTCACATATGTATGTTTATGAAGAGATTAACTAGACTGTGTCTGTATGAAAAAATCCTTCCTATTGTTGTATCATAATCTAGTCAATGTGGTTTTTTTTATACTCGAGCAACAACGTTTAGGAAAGTGGTGTATACTTTAATCGGGGTGTCTGGGTGAAAGTTTGTCTGGCGCAGTGCTGCTTGCTTACCTTCTCAGCCAGTTTTTACAAAACTTGGTACAAATGATCAGAATTCCATGTACCAGGGTAATACTAGGTAGTTGAGTGTTTGCAATTTATTTTTTATTTTGAACACTTCCATAGGAATAATTCCCTCCGATTTTCTGTTAAAAAAGTTTGTCTGCACAGTATCTTGAGTAGTTGCATGATTGAGATTTATTTCTGAGGAGTAATTCTTGTTTTCTAATTTTTTGTATGGGATTTTTTTTGGGGGGGGGGTGTTATTGTTCTGTATAATCACAAAATGCTGAAAGTAGCTCCTATTTACTCGTCTAGAAAACCAGAAATACTCCATAGCAACTATTATACTCAAGTCTCCGTGTTTTTGAAGGTTTCTCTCTCTTTCTCTCTCGATGTTGTTTGGTGTCCAGGAGTCTGATGGACTTTATACTGGAATAAATTTTGTATTAAAATTCAGTTACTTTAATCATGGCAAATCTTTTTCAAGAACAAAGGAATATATGCTAATGATGTTCCTAACTTTTTAGGTTACCTTAATATTGACTCTGGTAACCTACTACAGTTGCATTTTGCCAATCCTGGCCTGTCTTGACAATACATTCTTGTGGTATTGCCACATATATCAATATTTTATCAACAGTATGTATGTTCCATTCAAGTGAACACCAAAGGCCGAGGAGGCTCTTGTTTGTTCTCTTGTGGCCACTAGGGCAAATGATTTTTAACCAAAAACATTGTTGCAAGACCAATATATAATGTATATGTGTTAATCGTAGATTTAGGAAAGTTGTAATCCCTATTGAGTAGTGCTTGTCTGCACTGATTGTGGAAAGTCAATGCTATCTTAGACGTACATCATTGATCTTATAAATCTGTTTAGCCATATATAATTTTGTATTTTTTCTTTTGTTTTCAATAAGAAAGTTATTAAAAAAAATGTTACAAGTACAATTATTTTATATTATTTATGACATGATTTAACTCCTAGTGAAAGAGGTAAAGTTCTGACAGTGACTTTAGATGATTACATTGATTGAATTCCTGGTTAAACAGGTAACATGCTGACGGTGACTTTAGATGATTACCTTGATTGAATTTCTGGTTAAACAGGTAACATGCTGACAGTGGCTTTAGATGATTACCTGGATTGAATTCCTGGTTAAACAGGTAACATGCTGACAGTGGCTTTAGATGATTACCTGGATTGAATTCCTGGTTAAGCAGGTAACATGCTGACAGTGACTTTAGATGATTACCTTGATTGAATTCCTGGTTAAACAGGTAACATGCTGACAGGGGCTTTAGATGATTACCTGGATTGAATTCCTGGTTAAACAGGTAACATGCTGACAGTGACTTTAGATGATTACCTTGATTGAATTCTTGGTTAAACAGGTAACATGCTGACAGTGACTTTAGATGATAACCTGGATTTAATTCCTGGTTAAACAGGTAACATGCTGACAGTGGCTTTAGATGATTCCCTGGATTGAATTCCTGGTTAAGCAGGTAACATGCTGACAGTGACTTTAGATGATTACCTTGATTGAATTTTGGAAGAAATATTTCCACAGCATTTAACACAATGCTTCAGCACATTTAAATTACATATAACATGACAATGTTTGTAATATGTAAAACAGAATAAAACATTATATTTTTAATTCTTCAACCCTAGTTAAAACCAGACATAAGTTCACAAAACTCGCACCTCAAAGAAGACACCCTGGCTGTATTCATATATAGAAAATCTGGAGAAAAAAAATCACATTTTCTAAATCACGGACAGTTCGATTCAAACCAAAGTAATGACAAATAAAAAATGTACTGCCTCCCAGTTAATGTGGAAGGAACCTTTATTTCTTTTATTCATAATTTTTTCAACAGTCCCCAAAACTATTTTTGTTGGGCCAGCGACGACCTCACTTTTGACAACTTTTGGTCGTCCGACCAAGACTTTAATCAACATTGGCGAGCGGAACACCGTCCATTTCAGGCACTGCTGCACAACAAGGGAACAAAGGGAACCTACATATAAAATTTGAGAAAGATCCCTCCTGTACTTCCCGAGAAATAGCGATAACAAACTTTCAATATCAAAATCCAAGATGGCTGCCTGTCGGTCATGTTGTTTATTCGATCAGTCTCAAAAGTTGCCCTGCACAGCTAAGGACCAAGGGGAGCCTACATATAAAATTTGAGAAAGATCCCTCTAGGACTTCTTGAGAAATAGCGATAACAAACTTTCACTATCAAAATCCAAGATGGCTGCCTGTCGGCCATGTTGTTTATCTGATAAGTCTCAAAAGTTGCCCTGCACAGCTTAGGACCAAGGGGAACCTACATATACAATTTGAGAAAGATCCCACTTGTACTTCTTGAGAAATACCGATAACAAGAATTGTTTAAGGACGGACGACGGACGGCGAACGGTGGACGATGGACGACTGACGCAGGGTGATTTGAATAGCCCATCAGATGATGGTGGGCTTAAAAGAAGAGAAAAGATCAACTGACATAAACCAATGAAGATGGTACAATGGTAGGCGCCAAGATCGGATCTCTTGTTTTTTTTAATTCCAGTAAATTGAAAAACACTTCATTAAGCAGTATGAAGTTTTGATCACAAAACCACCACATGATTCATCTAGTGCTAACAAAACTAATAATACAAAAAGGGGCGTTTGGTTTTCTAGCCCTCCTTCGTGGGGTAGTCGCGAGGTACATACCGTAGGTCGATGGTTTTTTTTAGCTCACCTGGTCTGAAGGACCATGGTGAGCTTATGCCATACCGCAGCGTTCGTCGTCCGTCAACTTTTCCTTTAAAACGCTACTAGTCATGAACAATTTTGACCAAATTTGGTAAGAAGCATCCTTGTGGGAAGGGGAACAAATTTTGTATAAATGGTGGGTCTGGCCCCCCTGAGAGGTGAGGGGCGGGACCCAATAGGGGTAATATAGCAAATTCTTTAAAATCCTTCTTCTTCTGTAGGAAGGATTTGTTCCATATTTGGTAAGAAGCATCCTTGGGTGAAGGGGAACCAATTTTGTATAAACCGTGGGTCTGGCCCCCCAGGGGCCTGAGGGGAGGGGCCCAATAGGGGAAACATAGCAAATTATTCTTCAAAATCCTTCTTCTTCTGTAGGAATGAAAGGGTTTGGTCCATAATTGGTCACAAGCATTCTTGGGTGAAAGGGAACCAATTTTGTATAAACAGTAGGTCTTGCCCCCCTGAGGGCTGAGGGGCGGGGCCAAATAGGGGAATAATAGCAAATTCTTTAAAATCCTTCTTCTTCTGTAGGAATGAAAGGATTTGTTCCATATTTGCAGCTTTGGGTAAAGGGGAACCAATTTTGTATAAACCGTGGGTCTGGCCCCCTGGGGCCTGAAGAGCGGGGCCAAATAGGGGAAACATAGCAAATTTTCTTCAAAATCCTTCTTCTGTAGGAATGAAAGGATTTGGTCCATATTTGGTGTGGAGCATCCTTGGCTAAAAGGGAACCAATTTTGTATACACGGTGGGTGTGGCCCCCCTGAGACCTGAGGGGCAGGGCCCAATAGGGGAAATAGAGGTAAAACCTTTATAATCCTTCTTCTACCATAGGGATTAAGGAATATTATCCTAATTTAGTCTGGAGCATCCTTTGGCAAAACCCCCCTTATTTCGTATAAACAGCGAGTGTGCCCCCCTGGGGGCAGAAGGGAGGGGCCCAATAGGGGAAATATAACAAATTCTTGAATGGCAGGATTTTGTCAAAATTTGGTATGAAGCACCCTTGGGTGAAGGGGAACACCCCCCACCCCTAGAGGCAGAGAGGCGGGGCCCAATAGGGGAAATAGAGGTAAACCTTTCAAAATCTTTCTTCTACCATAGGGATTAAGGGATTGTATCCTAATTTAGTCTGGAACATCCTCGGGCAAAGGGGACTCAATTTTGTAAAAATGGTGGGTATGACCCCCTTAAGGCATAGGGGTGGGGCTCTGTTTGAAGTTTGTTCTTGCTAAATCTCAAGTACTGGATGGATCTTTCTGAAATTTCATATGTACTTACAGCACCTACCATGGAGTGCTATATCTTTACTTCATACCAATTATTTTAAACATATATTCAGGTGAGCGATACAGGCCCTCTTGACCTCTTGTTCACGGGTACTCCGGTTTTTCTCAACCACCCTGGCTCGTCCTTAAATGACCATAACTGCTAATATGACGTAAAACACACACAAACCAAAACAATACGAAAGATGACAGATCAAACTTAAATGAACTAATGAAGATCTTGTTTGGGGTTTTATGATGAATTAAAAAAAGGAAATATAATGTCTTTCAAATAAATATTTTCAAACAAGACAGTGAAAAAGACCAACTTTTACATTTATGGACAAAAATATGTTGCCTCTAGATATCAGCAAGATCCTGTCGGACTATTTAATATTTTAACTCGCCTTTTAACTAAGATTTCTGGATTTTAATTCCTCTATATCAATACGCACCGGAAGTTGAGTATCAGTATAGGAACATTAAAATGCGCCGCAAGAAGCTACCTGAAGCTTTCCATTGGTGTCGGCTACTATATCAACTATATCAACTATATCAAGACACACAATTATCACACGATCATAACCAACCCTCTCTCGTAACTATACCATTTCTCTCTCGTAACTATACCATTTCTCTCTTTTTTCTCTCGTAGCTATACCATTTCTCTCTCATAACTATACCATTTCTCTCTCGTAGCTATACCATTTCTCTCTCGTAGTTATACCATTTCTCTCTCGTAACTATAGCATTTCTCTCTCGTAGTTATACCATATCTCTCTCGTAACTATAGCATTTCTCTCTCGTAGTTAAACCATTTCTCTCTCGTAACTATAGCATTTCTCTCTCGTAGTTATACCATTTCACTCTCGTAGCTATAGCATTTCTCTCTCGTAGTTATACCATTTCTCTCTCGTAACTACACCTTTTCTATCTCTTGTAGCTATACCATTTCTCTCTCGTATCTATTCCATTTCTCTCTCGTAATTATACCATTTCTCTCTCGTAATTATACCATTTCTCTCTCGTAGTTATACCATTTCTCTCTCATAACTATACCATTTCTCTCTCGTATCTATACCAACTACACCATTTCTCTCTCGTATCTATACCAACTATACCATTTCCCTCTCGTAGCTATCTCGTAACTACACCTTTTCTCTCTCTTGTAGCTCTACCATTTCTCTCTCGTATCTATACCAACTATACCATTTCCCTCTCGCAGCTATACCAACTATCCCATTTCTCACTCGTAGCTATACCATTTCCCTCTCGTAACTATCCCATTTCTCACTCGTAGCTATACCATTTCCCTCTCATAACTATACCATTTCCCTCTCGTATCTATACCTTTTCCCTCTCGTAGCTATACCATGTCTCTCTCGTAGTTATACCATTTCCCTCTCGTAGCTATCTCGTAACTACACCTTTTCTCTCTCTTGTAGCTCTACCATTTCTCTCTCGTATCTATACCAACTACACCATTTCTCTCTCGTATCTATACCAACTACACCATTTCTCTCTCGTATCTATACCATTTCTCTCTCGTAGTTGTACCATTTCTCTCTCGTAGCTATAGAATTTCTCTCTCGTAGTTATACCAGTTCTCTCTCGTAGCTATAGCATTCCTCTCTCGTAGTTATACCATTTCTCTTTCGTAGTTATACCATTTCTCTCTCCTAGTTATACCATTTCTCTCTCGTATCTATTCCATTTCTCTCTCGTAATTATACCATTTCTCTCTCATAATTATACCATTTCTCTCTCGTAACTACACCTTTTCTCTCTCTTGTAGCTCTACCATTTCTCTCTCGTATCTATACCAACTATACCATTTCCCTCTCGAAGCTATACCAACTATACCATTTCTCTCTCGTAACTACACCTTTTCTCTCTCTTGTAGCTCT